GAATTTCGTGTAACTAAGTATTGGATATTCAATGAATATCCGTTTTAAACCGTGAATATTCATGGATCCGGCCTCTAATATGACTATACTTACCCATTCAGAGCGATGGAGCATTTTCCGAGAAAGACATAAAGCAGCAGCAGAAATCATGGAGGGAGGATAGGGTAAAAAATTATGATCGACAAGAGATATTTCCATAAGATATTTGGCAACTGTGCGGGATTGAACGTCGAAGTTGTCAGCTTTGGAAGCTCGTCGAAGAAAGTTCATGGGATTTGGATAGTTCATCTTGAAGTCAATGGTTTGAAGAATATAACGTTCTGCTTTAAGAATTTCGTCGTCTGTATACCCGTTATCAACCATGTAAATGAAATTCTTAATTGACGGTGCTATAACTTCTTCGTATTTTGCCGCAACGAACAGTCCAGTGATTCCAACTAGTTGGAGTTTAACCAGGGAAACAACCCGAACAGAAAGAAATCGATCGATTATGTTTATGGCCAAGAATAAGGTTTCAGGAAGTAAGCGAAATTTGTTGTGTACTTCGATCAGCCAATCGACGAGGATTTCTCGCATTTTCCAGCTTAGCTCGCTTTGCTGATCCATGTAGTCAGGTCTAGGCGCTGTTTCGGACTGAACGTAAATTATAAATAAATAAGCGAAATAATTTTTCGGGTGAATAAGGGATGGCAGAATCTTACCTCCAATTCTTTTAAATATTGGAAAATGTCTACAGCGTATTCTGACACCATCAAAGGATCATGAGCATCATCGGCGTCCAAATCTTGCCAGTCTTGGGTCCTAGGTTTCTTTGCGCGTTTCTTATCAACTTCAACATCATGTATTTGATATGATTTAGTTGCAATGGGCTTTGATTCTACATGTCTAGCTCTAACATTAGGTACATTAGGTACACCTGATTTGAAGACAAATAGCTTTTCATCCTTTGCATGTTGCGAAAAAGAGAAATTTTGATCTATTTTTCCTACTTTTTCTATTTTGTCTATATTTTCTACTTTTATTGGAGGCTTTATGGCACTGGCCAAATCACTGGTTGGCGCATGCTTTTTTTCTATTTTTATTGGAGGCTTTATGGCACTGGCCAAATCACTGGTGTGCATCCAAACCATTAATTTAAAAATTTAATATTAATATGTTTTAGTTTAAAATTTGAATTTGGAACTTAGTAAAAAAATTTCTAATTCGATACTAACTAATACTATAATTTAAATTTATAATATATACTGCAATTTGATTGATTAATATGATACATTTTTTCAAATTCTAGTTCTTAAACATATGATACCATTAATAAAAATCAGATAGATTGATATTTTAAAAAAATAGCTTAACTTTTATAGTCTATATTTTGATAAATTTTAATAATTTGATAATCAAAAGAAAGTTTGCGTCTAAGCTTTCTTTTGACCTATAAAAATTAAGGTATAGATGTCGATAGCCCATAATAAAAAAACTTAAAGCCGCCAATCAAACTAAACTTCTATTGTTATTGTTACACGGATTAAACGATTATCGATTGTTTGTTTTGTCGAATTTGATCAGGACTACCCCAGTATCGCCATCAAAAATTTCACCCCGAAAAAATTCTTTAAGTTCGTTTATGCTAAGGTTAGTGCCCAAATTAGCGTTAGAATTTAGGTAATTATGTACTAAAATCGCGTAAGAAAAACTTTTTGTTAGT